TTAAAAATGATGAAATATACTTAAAGATATACTTGATGAGTGTATATTAAACTTTCAAGACCAATAGAATCATCCCCTCAGTCCATTTTTTCATATTTAATAGATACGAATCCCAATCATATCTTCTATATTAATAGAGTTGAATAAATCCTCAAAAAAATGTACACTGAAAAATGTCTCGCTGCCCTACCTTTATTAACATCATGGCAATTTCTTAAATGCTATAAGATGCTCCGTCAAATCTCCTTTCTGATTTAAATACATACACATTGAATTCGTTTGTGACACATGAAATTTCTTGAACTATTACGTATAAATTCTCTACTGAAGGGGGTGGTTAGAATCCTATGAAACAAGCTTAACCCTATTTCACCGCCCTAAGTCAATGATAGCCTTAGAAGACATGATAGTTTTCCGTTTTGGTTAATTGACTTTTATTCACATACTGGTTCTCTGTTCATGTGATTCCCTATTTCCGAATTTAACCTTTGTAGGATATCTAATCTATCCATCGTTTCTTTTATTATACAGATATATTAAAATGATTTGATAAAGAGAATAAGTAGGAGAATAGTCAATGATTTTTGCCATGTTTTCCTGTCGATATATAACACCTATTTCTATAAGCAATCTGTGTTTCATATATTATCATTTCTTCCTTCATATGCATTATAAGATGAAAGAGTAATTAGGGATAACACATAGAAAAAAAACCATATACATGAATTTCAAAATAAGTATAAAAACTTATTATATATAAAGTTTAAGTAATAAATCAAAAATATAAAATAAGAGAGAGAGAGAGAAAAGAATAATTTTGAACACATTTTGAATATTCAATATACCGAAGTTTAGAAAACAATTATTACTGAATCCACATATACTTCCATAAAAATATGATATATTTTTATATAATGAAGATATTTTACAAGAGAAAAAGATTATATTCTAGATCAGCTTTAAACTTTTGAACTCTTATTGCATTTGCACGATTTACCGTTCAATTCTAAATCCTAGCAACTATTGCGCAATAAAAACCACGATCGTTAATACAATTCGAATATAGAAAAAACATTTTGACTCGGATTTAAAAAAGTATGTTTTATAAGTAATAAATTGTAACTTTTGTAATTGAGATTGTACAAGTAATTAACTTTGAGATTTCATAGCATTTGCACGATTTACGGTCCAATTCTAAATCTTAGCAACTATTGCGCAATAAAGACGACGATTGTTAATACAACTCGAATGTACAAAAAAAAAACGTTTTAAAACATTTTAATATAATTTACATAATGATAATGATTCATTGTTCAGTTATTTCAATCAGTGGCGTACACAGTCCCCTCTCATTGGGGGTACATTTTAAAAAAGACGCAGGCAAAAGCTCTGAGGGGTAATCTTTATAATAAAAATTAAAAATCTATTGGTCCTGCGGCGTAATGCATACCCCCGCAACCCTTTCCCCTATTGCGGGGGGGAAGAGTCAGGTTTCTAAGGGGCCCAGAGACTGACTGACGCAAAGTACGTATTTAACCAATTAGGGTTGAAAACCTGACTTTGCAGAGGGCACTAATATTGTCCGTTACGCCAATGTGTTGGTCTAAGGGGGCTGGACCCTCAACACCTCCCCTTGTATAAGCTACTGACTGACCTTTGAAAAATATTATTCATTAAATCGAAGTAGATAAGTTCCTGATACCCAAAAATTAAAAAAGAATAATAATAATTTGAAATAAAATATTAATTTCCCATAAAAAAATTAAATAAAATCAAAACCTTTTTTCTCTACAAACTGAAAAAAAAATAAATATTATATATTAAATAATTCAATTTAAATATATATATATATGTGTAGATTTCCAATTCGATATCTTTTATATAGATTCTAAAGTGATTTACGAGGTTTTAATCCTAGAACCCAAAGAAGATAGGATTCTTATCAGTCAAAAATTATCAATCTATATAAAGAGCATATAAACTGAATTGAAAAGAATGGATATCAAAACAACAAATAGCGGAGCTCTTTTGTTTGATAGAGGCTAAACACGTGCTTTTAGCGCGCCGCATAGAATGGGAACGGAACTCATACTTACTAGAACACGAGTTTGGTGAAAGCTTTCCTCACGTGTTATGATCGTCATATCACTCTGAAAATGTCTTGTTATACTGAAAATATTTCCTGGCCAACAGAGAAAACAGGAAAACGGCGCAAAAGCATTATTCGCTACTGACCAACTGCCTTACGCATTCAACTGGACAGACCGCTAGTAAAAAAGAATGGAAAAGATTTTTCTGATAGGGTTGCAATTGTATTCATGTACCTGCCACCTTGGCGCCATTATCGCCAAACTTTTATTTTTTTTTCACTGGAAATGGAAAACGTTTAATTAAACTGTTAGAAGGCCAACAACGAGGAAAAAATCGCTTTGCGTGAAACGATTGGAGTAACCTGTCTTCGAAATTGAAAGGGGAGTTACATTAGGATTATTATTTATTTGGTGGACATTTAAACGACTTTTTTGTTGGGTTATTTGTTTTCCAATTAAACTCAAAAGAAATGCCGAGTTTCTTTTTCGACTTTGATGAAATTTTCCGGGAAGTACAGTTTGACAAGGAGACACTTCCTTTTAACATAGTTTGTTCGAACACAAATTTTAAATGTCCATAATTTTTTTTTATTATTGTTATTATTTCTCAAGCTGAGTTTCCTCAATTATTGCAAAGGAGTAAAGAGACAAGGTTTAATATGAGTGATGATATATTGTTAAGTACAGTTCCATTGCGTTTTTTTAATTAAAAATTTGTTCTCTGGCTGCAAAGTTTAAGTAGATCGTTAAATAAACATTGCGCAGTGATATCTGATTTACATAGCGTTTATAAATTTTAACTGATCTGTTTCAGACAAAAACAAAAAATTTCGAAAATATGCGAATTATAAGAATCAAAAGTTGATTATTTATAACCTGATGGATGTTTGTTGCTGACTAAGAGGAAAGTTTTCAAGAATATAAGAAGAAAAATCAAAAGAGAAATTTATAATAATGTTTATAAATTTCTCACTCAAGACACGGGGCCGGCGTGTTTTGAGTTCGAGACTAGTACCACTGAAGACCCGCCGTGCAGAAAGGCGATGCACGTTAAATCTGTCGAGGCTCAAACGTGTGGTGTGGAAGTTGGGAGAGGAGGTTGCCAGCTCAGTTGTCGTCCTCATCACTTGACCATGGTTCAAAACTACGAGGTATGTCTCCGAAAGCCGTCGATTAGCTGAATAATGCGAAGTTAACATTCACTCACTCACTCCGAGTATTTTGTGAGTTCGCGAACAAATGGCTAGAGTTGTCGAGTCGTGAATTCCAGATTTAGTAGGTGGCGACAGCCTTATGGTCAATGTGTCATGCGTTCAAACATTAGTGCCATCGAAAACCCGCCGTTTGAAGGGGCTGAAGCACGTCCTCGGTCGTGGATCGAAGTTTTCCCGCTGTCGTGGTGCGAAAGTTAGGAGAATGGGGGTGCCAGGTTAGGTGTCATTCTCGTCGCTTGATTGTTGCTCAGATTTACGAGGTCCGTCGCCTGCTTTAAGCCGCATTCACATCAAGGCTATCAGCGTCGAGCGCTAAGCATCTAGCCAATCAGAGACTTTATCTCGGGCGATATGAATTCTCTGATTGGCTAGATGCTCAATGCTCAACGCTGACTGCCTTGGCGTGAATGCAGCTTTACAGTGCGACGTCAGTAAACATTCCCTCCAAACCATGTGGTACTAAAGAAGAGGGTCTGATACACGTTAAATCTGTCGAGGCTTTAAGTTCTCACGTTCGTGTGGAAGTTTCGAGAGTGAGGAGCCAGCTCAAATGTTGACCTCGTCACTTGACCAAGATTCAAAATTGCGAGGTTCGTCGCTAAAAAGTCCTAGTGTAGCTTTAATGTGCAACGTTGATAAAAAATCAATTCGGTCATCAATGCCGTAACGTAATGCCCCGGAACCCCCGTATCGCGGGGGTGTACCAGGTTTCTAAGAGGCCCAAAGCCTATGTTATATTATGGTTTTGCAATCGTAAAAATTCGGCTTGGGACGCAAAACCGGACTTTGCAAGGGGGCCCTAATATTCTCCATTACGCCACGGCCATGCAATGATTTTGCAATAACCCAAGAAAGCTTTTAGCTGCGTCGTCTTAGGACGGTAAATATGAATGTTTCAAGTTTGTTTTTGACCTAATTGGATTGTTTCAAAAAAATAATAAAACAGATTACCTTAAAGTCAGCGTCTCCTTTTCCTCGATTTGCGATCTTTCGGCTTACGACCACAAAATATAAATAAATTTTAAAATGTAAATAAATAAATATCTCTACGTTGGGACAGGAGAATAATGCTTACACAATAGAGTTCAAATTCTGTATTTTCTTCATGTGCAATAATTATGCGTTCATAGATTGTGCTTTTGCGTTTTGTGTGCAATTTCTATGACCTATTTGAATGAGAGCAATGTTGAAAAATATAAATCAGACTTATGACCTTTTAGTCAGTTAAGATCTCGATTGTAATTCTGAGGAAACCCTATACTTAAACCTCTCAATATGTTGATATCAGCAATTTTTATCATGGTATTTACAGTAAAAAATCGCTTAACACGAAATTGAGGGGACTGAAATACTTTTTCGTGTTAAAGGATATTTGCAAAGAAATAAATAAAAAAAAATTTAAGTCAATTCCTACTTAGGTCAACAAGGAAAAATTTTATTTCAGTTACTTTTTGTTAAATAATTATAATTAATATGAATATGCATCTACATATGATAAAATAAAATCAAAATATTGAGTGGCAAAATAGAAAGTGATTTTCCTTGCAATTTTACAATTTTCCCTTTTCCTTTATCTGTATGATGTTTGAATATTATTTTTATTTTTTGTTGTTGCTACTATTTTTTCATTCATTAAATTTAATTATTCTAATAAAATAGCGTAGTAAAAAAGAAATCACATTCTGAGAAATTAGGCCATCCCAGGGGGAATCGAACCCCCGATTTTTGAATTAGAAGTCCAACACGCTATCCTGTGTGCTACAGGGACACAATGAGCGATTTTCCTTTCTATATATGATGCTGGACTATTATTTTTTGTGTTACTATCTATTTATTAATTAAATTTAATTAATGAATTAATATTTGAAAAAACTGTATTCACATCAAGTACCATCCACTACAAGTTTAATAAACGTATTTGAACTTGAATGGATGAAAAAAGAGTATTTTATTAACGATTAAAAATTTGAACATGAAATATATATATATGTAACATATTGGCCGAGTGTGATATTTGTCGAATGGTTTCAAGAAAACATCTTCAGTGGACGTTCATCTTTTTTATTGTGACGCACACATCCAAAGCTTTGGATAAAATTGCGGTACATTTTCACGTTGACGAGACAAACTTGCGACGATTATAAAGCAAAGCGGACAAAAACAAGCAACAACGACATGTTGGAGGACACAACACAAAGACAAAAAGAGAGATTACACAAGATTTTTGCTTTTATACCGGCAGGGTCAAGCGCGTGACCATTATCTAATTGTAGTTCTGATTGGATAGAATGGGCGGGACAGGGATTTCGGACTAGCCGATTACGATTAAGATTACAGTGTTATTTTTAAACAAAAGAATTAAAGCTTGAGTAAATATTAGAAAAAAGAATTAACAAAAAGGATACTAGAGGGAATTTTTACATATATATAAATATATATAGGGAGAGTATGAACTAATTGTAGGAATTGAAAAAAAAAACGTATCTTCAACAAATTAAGTTTATTTGAGTATATTTTATTTACATAGATGTGTATATATGCACGTATTTAATAAAAATCAATGAAACAAAAACATTCATAAGCATTTAATTAAATTTAATACAGTTTTTTGAAAAAAAATTAATTAATTAAGGTTTTGGAAAGTTATCTGATATTTTTCTGTACACTGTCTTTTTAGCATCAAATTGTCAACAAGTTATTCGATGTCGTCCATTTTTTTAATTTCATGATTGGAATGCGCATCTAAATAACTCGGCATACTTTTTATGACATATTTATATTTAATTTCATTTTTCGTTCCTAGAATCTGCATCAATGATATTTTTTGAGCTTTGAAAAAACTCCAAAATGTCTTTGCCTGCCATAATTGGAGCAGTATACACATTTAGGACAGAGGTGGCCAACCGAAATGACCTCGCGGGCCACTTCGGAAGAACTTTTCAATCCCATGGGTGGCATATAAAATTATATATCTTTATGTTAGATTTGGATCCACTACAAGCATTTGTTGGAGTGAAAATTTAAAACAGACTGATATATTATTATTGTTTTCGTTGTTTTTTATGTATACATAGATAATATAATAATAATAATGCAATGAACAAATAATGTTTAGTTTACTTAATTAGTGAGATATTTGTTTCTCAACTCGTTCTCTTAGTTTTTGCAAGTCCATCTCAATGCATGTGTAGTTGCGTATCATAAGTGATGTTGCAGATTTTCGTGCGTTAAGTATGAACACACGATTTATGTTTGATAAATTTCAATTTAGAAAAAAAAGAGATTTGCAGTGACAGAAGCGACGTGATAAAATAATAACAGTTATGGGATTTACTTTTAACAAAACAAAAACTCTTTAAACAAAAATATTGTAAAAAATAGTCGATTTTTGTAAAGTTGTAAAGAATATCGCGGGCCTCGAAGTTATTCACGGTGGGCCGCGAATTGGACACCCCTGATCTACTGCAACGATTTCTTCCAAAGACACACTCGAATATAGCCTTATATGTATATACACTGGTGTGCAAAAATTAAGGACGAAGTCGAAAAATTAGCATATCAGCTGAACGAAGAGGCAGAGCGGACAGAAAGACCAATCAGGAGATTAAGTAAGGTGATGTACGATAGCACATGCGCAGATATGCAGGTAGACGTAATGGGGAGTGTCTGAGTAGTATAAACCATGTTGTCGGTGTAAGATCAGTATTTCTGGCAAAGAGATTGCACGCCGTATAGCAGTTAAAATCACACCGAGTTGCTGCCTCAGCGAGAAATGGCGAATAATCAATCTGTTAGACGACATCTGGATGCTTTTACCCGAGGTCGAATCATTGGGAAGTTGGAGGAAGGCAGCAGTGTGACAAGTGTGGCTGCAGAGTTCGGAATTGCTCACAGCATCGTTTCACGACTTTGGAGACAATTTCAAACTACAGGAACAGCTATCCGGGGGTTCAGTAGTGGTCGTCCACGAGGAACCACACACGCAGATGACCGGTACATTGTCTTACAGGCCAGAAGAAACAGGCGGCAGACAGCGGGAGAAATCGCTAGACACACGGCACAGGCGACTGGACGACCGATATCGCGTTTTACCGTGGCCAGAAGATTGCACGGTGGTGGTCTGTTTGCACGACGCCCTGTACGGTGTGTACCTTTAGCGCCTGCCCATCGGAGAAGGCGTTCTCTATGGTGCCGGGAACACCGGAATTGGAGAGACAATGAATGGGGACGAGTACTCTTTACAGATGAGAGCAGATTCAGTTTGAGTAGCGATTCTCATCGCATACTCATCTGGAGAGAGCGGGGAAGCCGCAATCATACCTCGAACATCATTGAAAGGGACAGGTATGGAGGTCACGGTGTTCTCGTTTGGGGAGGCATCATGCTTGGTAGTCGTACAGACAGATCTTCACATCTTCGACGCAGGTTCAGTCAACGGGACCCGTTATTGTAACGAGATTCTTCTTCCATATGTGCGTCTTTTTAGAGGCGCTTTGGGTTTGCAGTTCCTTTTCATGGACGACAATGCACCATGTCATCGCACAGTAGCTGTCGAACAGCTCTTAGAGAGTGAGGATATTCAACGTATGGATTGGCCGGCACGATCTCCGGATCTCAATCCTATCGAGCATGTATGGGATTTTCTAGGCAGACGCTTGGCAGCTCGTACCTTACCACCAGTAACGATTCGGGAGCTTCGATTGGCGCTGCAAGACGAATGGGCAGCAATGCCTCAACAACTCATTGACACCCTCATTCTCAGCATGGGCAGACGCTGTGAAACCTGCCTAGCAGTCAGGGGAGATCATATCCCCTACTAAAGACCGGATGTTTCTTGTTGGACACCCATCACAGGGATGTTTCGGCCTTCAGTCGCATTGCGCTCCATGCTACTTTTTCAATACAGCTCCTTTTTATCCCTCTGATTTCTCTTTTAGTAAGTGATGCTTACATATTACACATGTCCTTACGTATTGGGGATCTTACGGTATTAAATGTGCTGATTTGGAAAGCTTTTGTACAAAGTTATATTGAAAAAACCGTCTCGTCCTTAATTTTTGCACACCAGTGTATATAATAATATTTATATATAATAATAATATTTATATATATAATTTATATGTATATATATAGTAATATTTATATATATAATTTATATATATATATATATATATATATATATATATCATTCAGAAACTTTCTCAAACATTTCATTAAGTGTCTAGTGTTTTCCGTATTTTGTTCATTCCCAGAAGGGAAATCTTTTCGTGTTAAGCGATTTTCGTTTCATGTTAAGAGAAAAAATGCATGAAAATATATAGTAGTTTGTTGGAACCGTTGTATTATTTGGTGTTAACTGATATTTCGCCTTAAGGGGTGTTGGAAACCTAAAAGCTTCTTATTATGACAATTTTGAGATTTTTACATTTTCAAATTGTATAGATTTTAACCTTTCTAAACATACCTTACTTTAACCTCTAGGGTAATTAGAAGCCCTAAAAACCTATTTTTAAATAATCATTGGAACTGGGACACGCCCGTTTAAATGGCGAAAAATGTAAACAAAGTATTTCGCTTTTGCTTAAAATTTGAATGAAAGTGTAAACAACGTAATATGGTCTCGTGTACCGAAGAAAATATTTGTACAAATAGAAACATTATCATTAGGTACACAGGATGCAAATTCATCTTTTCATATGGGAAATGTATCAAAACCAGAAATGTTGAGAAAATTTAATATTGAGTCTGGGGATTTACGCGGCACAGGCAATGGAGCGCCTCCACAAGCAGAGGCTGTTAAGTACCACTCACTTTAAAATTACATAGAAAACCCATTGTTAGGAATACTCTGACGATACTTAACAGGAATAGTCTTTTGAATCCACTCTTCCAAAGTATATGACAGCATGAGTTCTATGATGAGTATTTTAGCGAGGAGGGCGAATAATTGTACAGAAGAAATTGCGTTTTCAGCGCATTGCGAAAATTATCATTTAAAATTATCATGTCAAAATGTGTCTTATTTTATTTGTAAAATAGTGAATATAATTAATTTTACAGTAGTATATTTAATTAATTAGCTCTAAAGGATTCAATTTCCTAAAGTTGAGTATTTTGTTTATGTATATTCCTCAATTTTTTCACTGTAGTGATTCAAGAAAAATATTACATGAAAAAAACTGCAGTAAAAATCATAATGCGGTAAATAAAGGGTTAAAGGCTAAATACTCATGTTTACAAAAAAAACAAAGGAAGTTAGAAAAGAAAGATTTAAAAGGAAGCGAGAGGATAAGATTAAAAAAAATCTAAATCACATTTGAAGTATGGGGAGGAATGTTTTAATAAAAAAGTAATTATACATTAAAGTTCATTTATCTCAAAATGTGAATTTTTGATGTTCGGTGTACCTTTTCTGGGAAACTGATGTTCACAGATATATAATTTCTTTTGACATTTTTATAATTATGGCTAACATATACTACAATGAGCCTTTTATAAAAAACGCAAAAATTTATTTTTTACAATTTTTTAATGTGAAAAAGGGGTCAAATTTCACTGTTTGATAAAATATTTTATAAATTATTAAAAAATTCAAAATTATACATATATATAGCTAAAAACTCATTTCAGTATAATGAGGAAGGTGTACTTTTTAATTGTATGAAAAATGTCGAGCATGTACATATAACAGAGTTTGAGAAAAGGTACTTTGAAAACATTGTCGGTACAGAGCTTTTCGACTCTTTTCAAGCGTTTTCTCGTCAAACA